TGTCATGTGCATTCCAAAATTATAATGAATTTGATTTCTCTAAGTACTCTGCATGCAAATTCTTTCTCCTACATGTCTAATGGAGATATGATACTATGAAAATTAACAAGGGTTCTTGACAATGATTAGGGCATAAAAGCACTACTACAAATAATATATTTTAAAACAACATTTTCACCTTACCCAACGAATAGCTAAAGTATAATTCCTGGATGCGTCACACTTTTTCTCCAAAAAATACCATTTAATCCCTCGATTTTGGTAAATAAACGAGGGGTAAACTAATTTAGAATACATGCTTCAAATCCTAGGAACTACAGTTTATGTTTTTATTTCTTAAAAGTAGCACCTTCTTTCAAATTTTATTTTTAATCCAAAAGTAGTTTAACTTGTAGATTTCAGTTTCACTTGCCTAAAATAATACACACAGAATCCTAATGAAGAGAGCTAAACAATGAGAGTCCTAAACACATTTCATTATTCAACTCGTAAAAAATCAAAGAAATACAAAGATGATATGTCTTTAGAGCTCTCATTTGATACTTGCCTGAATGAAAAACCAAAATAATTTATTTCATTTGTTCTTCACATATTTGGTATGTCAAACATCACTTATGAAGATTATATATTGTTGTTGTTTTTGACTTCCTAAAATCTAGAGCTTTAATCTTGTAGTTGCTTAAACTAAAATTGAATGTTATATGTTGTTGTTTTTATTGTGATAAGTATGTTATGTGTTTATTGTTGATGTTGATGTATATTTGTTGAGAGATTGTTACTTTTGAGTTGTTGTTTAATGTTGTTGTTGTTTAGGTTGATATTGAAAGTTAATGTTGTTGTTGTTATTTATTGTTGTTTTTTAGTGGTTGATGTTGTTATTGTTATTCTTGTTTAGTTGTTGTTATTGAGTATGAGATTGAGATTGGGATGTTTAGTTGTCATACTCGGAAATTTTTTGAAAGCTATATGTTGTTGTTTAGTAATTGTTATTATTGAGTTTGATATTGAGATTGAGATTTAGATTGAGATTGAGATTATGTTTTTGTGATTCTTCGTGTAACTCTCACCTTGTTTCGTCAAAAATGTACAAAAAATATTAGAGTCACAAAAAATACAGTTGAGTTTATTATATTTAATGTTGATTTTTTATTTCACTAACCCTTCTTTGAACATATAACATAATAAATTGATTTTCAAAATAGTAGTATGAAAATTTATGTAGTATTTGAAAAATATTTTATACTAATTAATATTTTTTTAGTATTTTGTAACTCATCATTCATCTCACGTTCTTTAATAGTTAAAATCTCTCTCAATACTTCTAGTTTTCGTTCAATTTTCTTCTATACTTGTTCAATTTGCATTAAATTGTATGCTTTGAGGAATGAATTAGTATATATTGAAGTGTTGAATGAAGAACTTGAAATATTGAACGAGAGTCGAACCATTAAAGAACGAGAGATGAATAATGAGTTACAAGATACTCGAAAACTATTGATTAGTGTAAGTTGTTCTTCAAATATAACATAATGTTCATATAATTATTTTATAAACTAATTTGAAAAGTTATATGTTTAGTTAGGTTTAGTGAAATAAGCAATCAACATTAGATATAATAAACTCAATTGTGTTTTACTCACCGGTTAAATGATAAAACCGAGAGAAAATGTATTTTCGCTATTTAAAAATTAAAAAAAAATATCGCTAGGGTTCAAATTCATGGTCTTTACACCTTTTCTACCGGTGGATCTAAAATCGAGATGTAAAATGGTACACTTTTATGAACCTTCATATTGCATTTAACATCTATAAACTATAAGAATGTACTATTGTGGGTGATGTTGAATGTTAGTAATTATGGGCCTAACCTACTGGATAACAAGAATATTGACCCAGGCCCACCTAAGAGGATTCACAAGAAGCCAAGTTATCTTGATGACTTTGTGACAGCATAAAGAAGGGAATAGAAGCTTCTATTTTTCACCTGCATTAGATTCCATAGTTTGTTATTAGCATGTGCTATTCAGCACCCATTTTCCTTAAATTGCGGATCACCTTACAATTGTATCAAGCCGTTACTCACTGGCTATATATATCTTTGTAAGAATGATTTAAAGGAATAAGAAGAAAGTGTATTTTCATTCCCTAGATAGCTTTAGTTTTCTCTGTTGAATAGAATAGAAATCAAATCCCTAACAATTTGGTGCTTTCATTGCACAAACTCCCCTCTTCCATGGCAGCTCGACCCACAAACGCTGAACGTCTAGACGACCTCACCGTTAAAGTTGATGCTATCCTTGACCAACTAGCCACCCTCACTGTTCATCCCACTCCAACCGAAATTCCTCAACAACCACAACCCCTAAACACCGCCCTCAACCCCCCACGCATGAAGCTCGATGTACCCAAGTTCGACGGAACCGACCCAACCGGTTGGATCTTCAAGATCTCGCAGTTTTTCGATTACCATCAGACCCCTGAAGCCGACCGACTCACTGTCGCCTCCTTCTACATGGACGGACCAGCACTCGGTTGGTACCAATGGATGTATCGCAGCGGTCAAATCACCACCTGGTACGGTCTTCTTCAAGCTCTGGAAAACCGTTTTGCTCCAACGTTCTATGATGAACCAGCCAGCGCTCTCTTCAAACTCACACAACGTGGTTCTGTGAACTCGTATTTAGCAGAGTTTGAGAAATTAGCAAATCGAATCGTTGGTCTTCAACCTCCTTTCTTCCTCAGCTGTTTTATTTCCGGTTTGATACCGGAGATCCGCCGCGAGGTTCAGGCTCTCCGTCCGATATCTCTCTCTCACGCCACCGCTTTAGCAAAACTTCAAGAGGACAAAATTGAGGATCGTCGCCGTCACTTTAAGGTAAAACCTTCTCCAATTCTCCTTAATTCCCAAACTACCCTCAACACCACCACACCACCCACCACTCTGGCGCTTCCCTCACCCACCCCAACACCACGACCCACCTTTCGCAAACTCTCCCAAGAAGAAATGGCTGTTCGCCGAGAAAAGAATCTCTGTTATAATTGTGACGAAACCTTCTCCGCCCAACACCGTTGCAAAGCCCGTTTTCATTTACTCATTTCTGATGATGTATCAGCCACCGAACCAGAACCCGACCCGATACCTGACACCACCCCAAACATTGACTCATCAGAAGCTTTAATCAGCCTTCACGCCCTCTCCGGTTGCTCCACCGCGGCGACTATTCGCCTCACTGGTCACATTCATCATCATCCTGTCACTGTTCTTATCGACGGTGGTAGCACGCATAATTTTATCCAAGTCCGTTTAGCCAAATTCCTAGAACTCCCTTCAATTCCAAAACCACCACTCAAAGTTATGGTGGGTAACGGTAGTTTGTTAGAATGCATACACCTTTGTGAAGATGTAAACCTCACTATTCAAAACACCCCCTTCACTATCGATTTACACCTTTTACCGTTATGTGGTGCAGACATTGTTCTGGGTGCTCCATGGCTCAAATCAATTGGCCCAGTTCTTATGGATTATACCAAACTATCCATCTCATTTACCCTAAAAGGCCAACCCATTACCTTCACTGCTAATTCACCCTCCAAGCCCAACCCTATTTCAGCCCAACAACTCAAGCGATGCATCACTACCCACTCTGCATCCGAACTTTTTCACATCCAAGCTTTTTCAAACCCCACAATCCCTACCCCAAACACCCTCCCTGCATCCTATGAACACAAACTAGAACCATTACTTCTAAAATTCTCCACCCTCTTTAATCCGCCACCTTCCCTTCCACCTCAACGGCCTATTGACCACCATATGGCCGTCAAATCCCTAACATTGAATCAGTTGAGTTTGATAACAATACAACCAGACTCTGACACAAGCGATTACATCATCCCAACAAATGCATAATTATGAAACTTCGTAAGAGAAATTTATCGAATGGTGTTCCCAGTTGCAAAATAGTTTTATGTAAGTATTACTTAAAATATAGTGTTGTGTTTAATTTAAGGCTGAAAAACATAAAACTAATGTAATCTTAAAATATATTATGATGTATGATGGCTATCAAAGTGACCTCTACGAATGGTTCTAGGTATTTTATGCTTTCCATCGATGATTTTTATCCCATGGATTGATTATATTTCTTGAAGAAATCTGAGATGTTTACCATTTTTAAGGTGTGGAAGAATCAAACGGGTAGAAAAATCAAATATTTGAGTTCAGTTAATAGGATTGAATACTTGATTCAAACATTTTAAAATTGTGTTAGTAACCAAAGATATTTTTCAATTCAAAAAATACCACAGCAAAATGGATTGAATGTTGGACACTCAAAGTCTCTAACTAATTTGACAAAAAAAATTAACCAAACAATACAAACTTATCTTCACACTCATCTCCAAATAAAATCATTTTAACTCTTAAATTTGACCGCATGTGTAGAGCTTTATTATTGGAGACTATAATTGACGATAAAAAGTACATTAAGACCTAGATTGACTATTAAATACAAGAAATCAGTAAGAAAAAGTACATTTAAGAACTAGATATAGTTAACCAGAGCATTCTAACTACTTTCATTCGTTGCTCTCAGGTGCCACTCATTTTTCAAGGTCTGACTTCTTTTCCGACCTTTTTGTTGACTCAGCTGTAACCATAAAAGTTTGTTTATTAATAATGGGAAGTGAATTGAAAGTACTGAAGACCATAGAATACTTGCTATGTCTAGCCAATCATACCTTTAAATTTCCTTTTCTTATTAGATCTCCTCCTTTTCCTTTCTATCCGTGTAAGTTCTGATTCTTCCTTAACATCACCCTTACCATAAAAAATCTCCTCAGGGGCCAGCATAGCAGCATTTGAAACAGCCACAGGAGCAATCTATCCATGAAAAGTATAGTGCATTGTAAGTAACTATAAAGTAGAAGTAGGAATAGAATTTTAGGAAAAGAATAGCTTTTTACTTCTTCCATTGCCAGAGCAGGTACATTTCTTTCAAAGGACATGTCCTCTATAACCTGTGAAATTCATTTAAGGGAAAATTTAAATGTTATCATATTGTCTATTAAGAGAAAATAGGAATGTTGATATCATACAGGTTTTGGAGCAAAGTTGAAATGGGAAAGGGCGTCCGCTTTCAAACAGAACTTGTTAAACAACATGCTTGCCTGACCACAAGTAAAGGCACAATATTAAGTGTGTAGCAAAATTGAAAAAGAATAACGACACAACCTGATCAGAGCCAATCCATGGGTACTTCAAGTACCTTAGAAATAAAACTCAACCAAAAGATGAAAATATTTAATAGTGGTAGAAATGAAGTAAAGGAATCAAGTGTTGCACCATATTTTTTCGTTTATCTTCGTGTGACAACGGAACTGAAGTGGGGTAAGCCTTCTCAACATATTCTTGCTGTAAAAAACATGAGGAAAATCACAAAAAAAATAACAAAATATGTATGACACAGAACTGCAAGTGTTCAAATACAGTCCAGATATACATACCTCATAAATTTCTGCTAGACCCTGCTTGCTTTTATTATCATCCTGTATTAAATGGCAATGATGTGCACAAATTAGTTACGTAAAATAAAGTTAGCAAGTTGAACTTCAAAGTCTATTTACCAAGTCTTTAACTTTCCGATGCGCTTTCAATGGCAATTTAGGAGTTCTTTTAACATCATCAAACCTCCCCTGAAAGAAACGTGTGAGTAGATAAGAAACAAAGATATTGTGATCTTTGTTTGTGCATGTTTGCAAAGTAATGCCATAATTATAACAGCTGATAGGTTAGTTAATGTTAGTTTTAGTTAATAATACTAAGAAATAAATAGTATGTTGCTTATAAATTGAAAGGAGGGATTACTGAATCTTGATAATTGAGGTAGAAGCACAAATCTTGTTATCACGGAAGAGTAATTTACCTCAATAATCCTTTTCTTGATCATTTCCTCAATTGAAGAATTAATCTCGTCAGTGATGACAAAAGCAGGTCTCACATTATGCTCAAAGTCAATATCAACTTCCAAAGCACTATTCATGGGTCTCTTTGATGCAGTTACCTGATAAATAATAAAAGAAATAAGGGGTCAAAAACCAAAAGAAAAAAAGAAAAGACAAAGTCAAATCTCCCCAATCCAAAGACACATGAACCAATGAACCAACAACTGAGACCAAAAAACACAACAAGAACACATCCTTGAAAATAACTGATTAATAGAAAGGTTATACATATGCAATTTATAACAGATACCAAATAAGGGAATGTGATATTACCTCCCCTAGCATAGTCCAAGTTTTTGGCTCTATGTTAGCTTTCTCCATCAGCTTTATCTTTGATTGGATTTTTTCCAGCTGCTTTTCATGGGAAGAAGCAGTCCTTATCTTCTACATATCATGAAAATTTAGTTTTAAAAAATAAACATCTTCACATCACAATCATGTGTGTGTATAAACACCGAGACACGCACGAGATACCTCTTTGTCAGATTCCATGTCATCTTCAACATCAAAATCTTCAGTTTTTTCAAGCACTTGTTCTTTTCTTTTTGAGCCCTTTTCTTTTCTTTTCTCAAGCAATTGTAATTTTCTTTTTGAGCGCTTTTCTTTTTTACCTCCAAAGAAGTCATCGTACCTGACAACAGCAAATGAAAAAATAAACCCCACATACATCTCATGCATGGGTATGGGTATAGTACTCAGTGCAAATACTTATACCGATACGAAATACGGCATTTAAAAAAAATTAAAATATGGATACTTTAGTAAAAAATAAAAGTTTTTATAAAATATGAGTAGAAAATTATATTATTTAATTTACATCAAAACATCATTATAAAACTTTAAAATAAAATCAAAAATAATGTTAAGATTCAATAAAAAAGAATTTAAAATACATAAACATACTAGATTGTTATATGAGAAAATTACAAATTTCACCCAAAACAGAATAATAAGAAGAAAAAAAGTATCACGAGTAAGGTACGAGTATCCAGTATGGATGCATATCCGATACCAATGTTTTATCATTTTAGAAATATCTATGCTCAGAGATCTAAATAAATAATAAATTTCAAGGAGTTATAATAATTATGCAGTGGCATCCAGCCAGTTTCGTAGCATACGGTGGAGTTGGAGTTAACATTTACACGAATAATACGTAAGCAAATATTCCCCACAGCACACAACATACAGAATAAATAAATACTAAATAGTAGTAACATAAATACCCTTAAGCTTAAAGAAAGAGGAAATACCACTTAAATACAGCACTCAAGAAAAAAGAAGCTATAAAAGAAATTCAAAACAAGAGGAAAAATAATAATAAATAAAAAGAATTAATATATATATATATATATATATATATATATATATATATATATATATATATATATATATATATGGTAATTTGAATAATTGAATTTGTTAACTATAATGGACTAGTGTTGTCATAACTATAACCCTCGACGGTTCTGGTTCTGCTCCAAACATATTTGAGACTAAAGTACCTTAAAAAATAAGACACTTTTGGGGAATCGATTTCTATAACTTGATCAACTATAGAGTTTAAGTTTTATTCCAAACAAACTGAGAAAGACTGAGAAAGAAACACATTGGCATTTTCCATTGCCATTACACCAAATGGACATTCTATCAAAAACAACCATATAGATAGCTTTCAAAATTTTTAAAGAAATATATAGGTAGTTAAACTGGAGTGAAGCAGTTTAAAGCAATTGCAAGCTTGAAATCAACACGTTTGTGGGAAGCTAAATATATAAATACCTTGCATATAAGGCTTCTGCTTCTACATCTTCTACATTTTCTTCATCATTATCATCCTCATCCTCATCAATCTCAAACTCACCGGCCTATATAAATATAACTAATTATCAAGAAATGTGGAAATAACAACTTAACAAGCACTGAACCATATCAAATATAACATATGATAAAAAAACGGTGTCCAATAACAACCAAGCAAAGAGCAATCAATTTTACCTTCTCAAGGTCATCATCATCTTCACTGTCTTGATCTCCCTTCTCACCCTTCTCGTAATTATCTTCCTCTTTCTGTAAATAATCATTCAATTCATCTATTTTCAGAAATTTATCTCCAATCCCACCACCTTCACCTTTCTCTTCTTCATCATCATCCTCGTCTTCTTCTCCTTCAATTCCTCCAAAATCATCCTCGTTTTCATCAGCTTCATCCAATAACTCATCAAAACCGTCACTTTCTTCTCCCCGCTCGTATTTCTCCTCTGCCTTGTTAGAGGCATCCAAAGGAACCTTCAGCTGCGCAATTTCTTCAGGATTTTTGACTAGCTGATTCAACCGGCGGCGAAGAGTGGACAATAGCGGTTGTGATTGGAGATCAATTTGATGCCAAATCTGCTCAGCATCGTAGCCGTCGACAAGGAGTTGGTCCAGTGGCGATTTTGGGGAGAAGGGTCTGAGGGAGGAGAATAGGTATTTGGATGCAGCACGGGTAGTCTGAGATAGGGTTAGATTTGGTACAAGGAATGAAGGTGGGTATATTTCTTTCAGGCACAGTAGGCTTTCGATGCCAGAATCCTTCGACATGAATGCGGTGTTTTGTATTTCTCTTCCCTTTAGAGATGGAGATTTGTGGTTTTATGGTTTTGGGGGTGGTTTTAGGGTTTTGGCTACACGATAATATGATAAGTTCGGTGGTTTTAAGGTTTTGGTTACACGATAATATGATAAGTTGGGTGGTTTTAGGGTTTTGGTTACACCATAAATAGCAAGCGTTCAAAATCTTTATTTCTTTACCTTATAAATACAATTTATCTTAGGAGTGAAGTTATGAAACTATTAATATGGGCCGTCAATTAAGCCCAATAAAATATATATCTTAAATTTTAAAATAGGTCTCGCTAACTTATGCTTTAGACATATAAGTTTAGTTATAGATATTATAATTAAAAAAATTATTTTGAATAAGACAATAATTTTATTTTCAAAAGATATATTTATTTCAAAAAAATATTTCTACAAACAAATTATTAATTTATGTTTTTGAGGTTGGGGGCAAATGTTAAAAGGCGGTTGGCCTTTTAAAATTAGAGGTGGTGTATAATTTTTTAACCTGATTTTAAAAGTGGGTTGGTCTTTTTTTTCTTTTTTTATAAGCAAAATGTATATTGAATGTGAGTATTAGGGATACTCAAATTCAAATATAAGAAAGTCAACAATTAAAAGCCAATCTTAAAAATAAAAAAAATCAAAATTATACTTTTAAAATTTAGAAATATAATATACTTGTTTTTCAAAAAAAAAAAAAATTCCATACATATCATTACAAGAACGGGTCTATATACTGCGAAATTTTCGAGGTGCCCCTTATTAATTATCACCTCCTTTATTCTTCTCTTCAGTCACAAGAACAACATATCACCATTCAACTCACAACTAAATACATAGCAACAGGAAAACAACAGAAAAAGAAAAAAGAAGTCAAAGAGAAAGAGGAAGAGTTTCAACCACCCACTGCTCCAACCTCTATTTTTCACCATTGCGCATTCCATTTTCACCACCACAAATAACTACACAACTGCAGGCATCATCAGAGTCACACACACACATCTCTCTTCAGTCCATTTCTTTTCCTCACTTCCATTTCATGCTTCTCTTTTAACTTCATCATTGTTTTTTTAAACTCATTTTGCTTGAAAAATAAGAAGCCACCATTTTTCTATTTGAGAGAAGAGCTTGTAGTGTTGACATGCAACTCTTATGCGTTTGGATATTTGGAAGTAGCAAAGGAGAATGAGATGTTTTTTGGAGTACTATGATATATTTTTTCATTTTAATTTCTTCTACATCAATGTGAATAAATATATGATTTCTTCTACACTCTTATTAGTTTATTAATATTTCTTAATAATTATCTTAGGGTGGCGTGAGTAGTTAGATCAGACTATGCTATTTTTCCTTATCATAAAAAAGCTATGATTACCTATTGTATAATGAAAATTTTATATTGTTCTATGTGGTTGTTATAGTTAATAATATAAAAATATAGTTAAAACTATAGTTAGTAATATATTTATGTTGTTTAAATTTATTTGTACAAAATATAATAATATAATGATTTAATTATTTTTTTTAAAAAAACTTTCAATCAATTTGCGAGGGGTTATCTCCAAACTAATATTCTGACACACCGCGCCTACCTGCACCACCTACTCTGCATCTAGTTCTGTGTCAAAATTGGTTTTGTAATTTGTGAGAGGGGAATCCCCAAGCTAGTTAGTGAGGTGGGAAATCCCACGCAAAACATTTTTGATCAACTGTTTAGCTAGGTGGTCCGTCCCCTCGCAAATTTCTATTTTGTGAGGGGTTTTTTGCGTTAGTGAGGGGGGAAACCCCTAGCTAATTACAGTTTTTCTTATAGTGCATCTAAAATACTCGTTTCGTCCCAAAATATAAGAGAGAAAAATAAAATCACACTTATTAAGAAAAGTAAAAATATAATGATTTGACTTGTGATTTTCTTTGAAAAAATTGCATAGAAAGATGTAAAAACAATTATAATTGATTGTTGGTTATAGAAAGATGAAAGAGATGGTAAATTAAATGCAATTTGCATTTAATTTTACCTTGAAAAGAATGAAAGTTGATAATTTCTCATATATTTTGAGACAACAAAATTGTATTTTTTTTTCTCTTATTATTTTGGCACATGGCCAAACCTCATTATATTCATGCTCATATGACCATCTAGAGATGCATGAAAAGTGAGAGAGGATCCATATCTAAAAATAGTTTAATAATCTTCCCCGGATCGGAAGATGCAGTAGAGATAACATTATTAGACGACGATAACTTATCTAGAGGGGGTGAATAGATCACCAAATTAAATTTCCAAATTAAAATTGTTTTTTAAAAGTTGATTGAAAATAATACAAGTGGAAGGTTTTTATATATAGATCGATTAAAGTCGTCTATACGAACTTAGTTATTGGAAGTTGGATATGAAATATAGCCCTATGTGTGAGCAACCTTTTTCTTTAAGTAGTTTTGTATGATAGCAAATATGTGTGAAAACAGTATTAGTGAATGTTTAATGTGCTTAATCTATATGTGTGCATAATATGACAATAGCATAACATGTTCAAAAATGTGTTTTACACATAAAACACAATTTCAGGTCGATACATAAGGTCTTAGATCGACACATACATAGTCAAAAATGTGTTTTACACATAAAGTACAATTTCATGTCGATACATAAGGTCTTGCATCGACACATACTTGAGCAAAGAATCACAAAAATAATTCTGCTTCAGTATGAGTCGACTCATTCATACTTTGTGTTGATATATGTCAAGTTGATGTTCCTGGAAAACATTTTAAAACCTTTATGCATCGACACATAAACTCATGCATCGACACATATCACGTTTTGTTTTCAAAATAAAAAATTAACTCACTGTATATCGACACATACGCGTTATGTATCGACTCATATAAAATGAATGGTTTTGGATTCTTTATGGAAAACATCTTTGTTCATTGGATCAAGAAATCATAGAGATAACGTTCAGCTGTACGATTCGTGATCTAAGATGAGTTAAAGATATATTTATTTCAAAAAAGATATATTTATTTCAAAAAAATATTTCTACAAACAAATTATTAATTTATGTTTTTGAGGTTGGGGGCAAATGTTAAAAGGCGGTTGGCCTTTTAAAATTAGAGGTGGTGTATAATTTTTTAACCTGATTTTAAAAGTGGATTGGTCTTTTTTTTCTTTTTTTATAAGCAAAATGTATATTGAATGTGAGTATTAGGGATACTCAAATTCAAATATAAGAAAGTCAACAATTAAAAGCCAATCTTAAAAAAAATTCAAAATTATACTTTTAAAATTTAGAAATATAATATACTTGTTTTTCAAAAAAAAAAAATTTCCATACATATCATTACAAGAACGGGTCTATATACTGCGAAATTTTCGAGGTGCCCCTTATTAATTATCACCTCCTTTATTCTTCTCTTCAGTCACAAGAACAACATATCACCATTCAACTCACAACTAAATACATAGCAACAGGAAAACAACAGAAAAAGAAAAAAGAAGTCAAAGAGAAAGAGGAAGAGTTTCAACCACCCACTGCTCCAACCTCTATTTTCACCATTGCGCATTCCATTTTCACCACCACAAATAACTACATAACTGCAGGCATCATCAGAGTCACACACACACATCTCTCTTCAGTCCATTTCTTTTCCTCACTTCCATTTCATGCTTCTCTTTTAACTTCATCATTGTTTTTTTAAACTTATTTTGCTTGAAAAATAAGAAGCCACCATTTTTCTATTTGAGAGAAGAGCTTGTAGTGTTGACATGCAACTCTTATGCGTTTGGATATTTGGAAGTAGCAAAGGAGAATGAGATGTGTTTGGGATTACTATTGTTGTACCCCAAAATTTGCCCTCCCATATTCTCTAAGATTTGGCAAGATCATGGTTCAAAGTTCCTCAAGGGTTGCACAGTCCAATTGCCTCCTAACACAGTCAAAATTAGGGTTTTGGTTCTAGCAAAGAAATTGAGATTTTCAAGGGTCCAATCAAGTCCCATATGCCTACATACATTGTCAAGCATCCATATGTCAAGTTTCAAGACTCACAGCATCAAGTTGCACAGTCAAAAGCCCTAATTGCTTCACAGTCAACTGCAGGGGCAAAATGGTCATTTGGCAGTCAAAAGTCAAAAATTTTGGTCAACATCTTATTTTGAAGCCACAATCATCATTTGGTCAAATCTTGACCATGATTTCACAAGAATGGCTCAAAAAGTCTCAAGATGCAAAAGTTTCTATTTTTGGACAACTGAAAAGTCAACTGCAAATTGACCAAGGCATAACTTCTTCATGGTTTATCAGAAAAATCCCATCCAAAGCTCATTTGAAGAGGATGACATTTCCTACAATTAATCTTCACACCCCAAGTCCAAGAAATGCTCTCACAAAAAGTTATCAATTTCAACATTATAGGTCATTTTCAAAAGTCAACAAAAAGGCACTTTAAGTCAAAGACCATAACTTGAGATTGGTAAATCAAAATGACATGGGACCAAAGTCATTGGTTAGAGGACTTCAAGACCTTTCCAAAATGTCCAAGAACATGTTCATAGCTTCAAAATTGAGCAAGATATGCATTGGAGAAGTTGGGAAAATTTTGGGAACTTTCAAAAGTCAACTTTGCCTAAAAAGCTCCAAATTTGCTAATGGGCCTCAAATTCTTTCTTGAATCATTACCCAAAGCCTATGCACGACCCATTGTGCTCAAAATAATTTATTTTATTATTTTTAATTAATTAATTGAATTTATATTTATATTAATTCATTTAATTTATTTTAATTATAGGAAAATTAAAAAAGATATGTTTTTGGATCTTTTGTGAAGCAAATCATATCAGGGCAAGCTGGCCAAGTCGTTTCTCATTCAAAAAAGGAAGATCTTCCATAATTGGCAAGGGTTTCAATGAAAAAAGATTGGAAATACATAATTGAAAATCAAAGATATGAAACATTATTGCAATGGATTCATGGGCT